TAGGGTTTAACTTCCTCAAGAATTTTTTTTTAGGAAATAGCCTTCATCAATTACAGCAGAACAAGAAAAACTGCATCTCTCCTTAAACTGAAAGAGTCAAAGTGAACTCTATGAACTCAGGGACAGCTGTCTTAAAACTGAAAAAACGTATCTGGTCTATCCTTTGCTGGAAATCTGTTCAGAAGACTGCCAAGTGCACATACTGAAGAGGGGGGAACTGCTGTAACCTCCTCTGTGATGTTAGGTAAGCAGCGTGACGCCCTGCCATTGCACTGCCCTTGTCTGCTGGAGGTGTGAAATAACTGTCTGAGCAGAAGAATGGAAATTAACAGATGATAAATATATTTTGACACAGATGATTTGTGTTATTCAGAGGAGGAAAATTGTAGGCATTCAGGAAATACAGTGAAGCAGTCAAAACTCAGAAGTTTGTGAAGCATATTTAGATGTCAGTATCTCTGACAAGTCTCAATAGCTCACACTTGCTGAAAATTAAAAAGGGGAGGTTTGTTGGACACATTTGGGTCAGGACTCAGAGTTAACTAGATTTAATTAGTCTTTTCTAGCTTGGTAGTGCAGACAGCAGTAGCTGTACCGATAGTAAAATGCTGTGGATTGACACAAACTGTACAGATAGAGTCCAACCAAGATAATCTCACTTCATCTTTTCATGCATGTGTTGGTGTGCCCTCAGGTGTAAAGTTCATTCTTTGGGTTACCAGATTGTTCCTACAAATGACTCTTCTTTCATTATTAACTTAATTGAATAACCAAGATGTTTTGAGGAATATGTAGACCTCTAAATTATAAAAATCTTTTTGCCAGGTGAAACGTACAGCAGTTACATTTCAGAGAATGCCATTGAACTTTATCAGGCCACATATTCATTCCAGGCCAAAATCTATGAAAACTGTGAAAACTTACGGGTTCCTTTGGAGAAAAGATTATTCAGAGTGGTACAGACCTTCACTGGCAAAACAACAAAAATAAATTTTGATAATATTGCTATTAAAGATATATTGATTTTTAAAGGGGAAAGAGTGTTTTTTAAGGAAGATATTCTGGGGGAGAGAATTCTTAAAATGGATCTCTTTCTGTTTTGGGGGTGAGTGAGTGATGGTGTTTCTCTCACCTTCCCCAATCCCCCTTCTCTTGAGTACCAGGCACTTAACTTTTCTTGGAGGAGTTTGACTCCTCTTCAGCTAAACCTTTGCTCGCAGAAATTCCTTATATGAAATACTGATTTTTATTTTTTTTTTCTACTGCTGTGAGTCAAAGTATCTCTGATTTAGAGAGGATTCCTTCTTTTCTGTATCAGAGAGAGTAAGAACAGAGTAGCTGAAGAAAAGTCTTGCTTGTGCTGTGAAATCTGACATAATTTAGCATGTGAAATGTTGGATGTCATTTTTCCCCACATATTGCATGGCAAACCTGAGGTGCTTAAGAGACCTCCCACTAGGCCATGAGTGGGGAGACTATTTATCTTGCATATTGACCTTGGCAGGGCCTGAAGTGAAACTCTTACACTCAGGAGACAAACAGTTTTATAATGCTGAGCGAAAAAAAGCTTCAAGTGCTGTTATCAGGCTACGCTGAATTCATCTGAGTGAGGTTTCCTTTGGATGATGGCACTTTACCAGTCAGGAGGGTACTGCAAGAGTCAAGTCTTTTTTTGTCTTTCTTTTTTTTTAATAATCTTTGCACATTAAAAATACCTTAAAGAAGAGATGAGAAGATTGTTTTTGGGATTTTTGTCTGGTAAATTAAATGGCATGACAGGTGATATTCCCCTGGAAAAAGCCTCCTTGTTCATACAGCATCTAGTGTAAGATCTCTCATGGATCACAGTGCATCACCTATTCAGGCACTACTGTCCAAAAGCAATCTTTCTCTTGGAGTGGCACAGGATTTTCTCCATCAAATCTTTAGATGTTTTCTAGTCTGAGAGCCCAATGCCTCCCCTCCTGACACGTTGTATCATCACTTTAGCATCAGCACAAAGGTGGTGTGAAATACCCCCTGACCCATAGCTGGACTCCTGGGCATTGGGAGCAGGCTGATGTTAACAGCAGAGCAGTGATGGATTGCATGGCAGGAAGAGCAGCCTGGAGGCATTGCTAGGAGGCAGTAATCTAGGGCTGCTGTCAGGCTCTGGGACCGTATCAAAACATCCCAAAACTGTCATGCAGGAAGCCTGGTTGCCTGGCTACTCATTGCACAGTCTGTAACCTTCTGTTATTTTATACAGTAGGGTTGGTGATACAGTTAACTTCTTTTTTTCTTTTTTTTTTAATAAAATGACACTGTGTAGTGGAAATCTGGGACATGTAGAATTTTCCCAGCAAAGAGACAGAATACTGGTGGTGCTGGTGGTTTACCATTATGTATAATTTATCATTTATTTCTTGATCATTTTTTCTTCTCTTTGTAACAGTCCCTGCATCTGAGAGCAGCATCAACAGTGGCAAAGTGAGTGAGAAGTTTAATTAACCACAAGAGATCAAAAGAGCTGCAGGCCTCAACTTTGGCCAGGTGATTAAGATACAACCTGAACTGCACAAAGATATTTTGGGTGGTCTTCAAGAGGAGGAGCTTCAAATTAGGTAAAACAAACCTTCTGTCTGGAGGTCAGGAAAAGTACTGCAGCATGATCCCTCCATCCTCTGTTAACATCAGGTACCCCTGGAGGTGCCAGGCTCTGCCCTGTTGTGCCGGGCACAGAAGAGGGGTTCACTGGGGCTTTCAAAGCACACCAGGCAAGGCAATGAGGCAGATACTGTTTTGGAGGAGTTCTGCAGGAGAGGGGGGACAAGTAGGATGTGCTATTAGGCTGTACAAACTTTGCTTTCTGTGATTCTTGGCTTAGAGCAGGGTGGGTGTGTGTATGCACTCCACATGGTATTTTTTAACTAGCTCATGTTATGTTTCTTTGAACCCTTTTTAAATGTCAGGAGACTGAAGGCTGTTGTTAAAAGAAGCAGGGCCTGACAAACTGTTGAGGATTTCCACCTGTGAAATGGGGAGAACCTGGCACTAGGGGAGGTCTTTCCTTCTTAGGTAGTGCCTGCTGCCTCAGAAACCTCTAGGGGTGTATTTGGGAGGTCCTGCTTTCCAGCACTGACCAGCAATACTTCTCAAGTGACCCTTCTTACATGTGTTACCTGGATGCATAAATAGGTATATGTTTTTGCATATATAAAATATATATCTTGTTCCTACTATATAAATAACTGTGTAGTATGGGAATTGACTGCCTGCTAGAGGCATGCTCAACTTCTTATCTGTTCCACTTCGTTGTAGTTTCGTCAGAGGAGGTTGAAAGTTGATTTTATTTTATTTTTTAATTTTCAGTGTCTTTGAGAACAAATAAAGAGGCTAGAAATCTCTAGCATTATTGCAAGAAATATTGACTGGAAGGAAAAAATTACCCTTTTTTTCATGGAATTCAGCTCTTTTTTGTTGAAGTCTTTTTCCTGTTTGCTTTCTGAAACTAGGTAGAAGTTGTTGATAATGTTTTGTTTGGTTTTTTTTCTAGGTAGAAACCTTTTGTTTGTTGTTTTCTCATCCAGCAATTATTAGAATTTGGCTTTAGGGAGCTCTGCAACCCACCATTTTTTTTTCCTTAACTTTGACATGGAAGAAACAAAGTAAAATTTGTGATTCTGACATACATGAGAATTGAATATAATTTCTGACTAAATGAATGATGGTGGAATTGGTGGGCCAGAATATCAGCTGATGACAAAAGAGCACAGTCTGAACTAAAACCTTGATTACTGATTTGCTGTGACTGTACTTTCCCAGTGTGGCAGTGACACTCAGCTGTGCTGCGCTGTCTCTGCAGTGTGAGCTCCTGGAGGGAGGTGACATGGGTGGGCTGTACTGATGGGTGAAGCTCTGACCTGCAGGTGTCTCACAGTATCTTGTGTTCATCACCTCCCTAGGACACAGGTGGGCACACTGAGAAGAGAGAAAAGAGCATTAACAGGCAGGGTAAAAATTTTGAATTTTGAAATCTGCCGTTACCAGCTGTGGGACTCATTGTGTGTCAGTAAGTTGGGTTTTGACTTGAAAGAGGCTTTTGTCTAAGGGTGTGTTGGCAGTAGCAGGAGGAGTGTGACAAGATGCAAACCAGAGCCTTGAGGGGTTGCCTCAGAGCTTGCCACATCTTGTGGCCTCACAAACATTGCTGAGGGAAGCAGCAAGGGTGACACATGTCTGCAGACTTGCTCTGGCAGGTAGAGAACATGGCAAGAGGCAATCCCTTCTTCATAAGGGTATGTTGTGCTATCCTTTCTCTTGCCTCAGGCAGCAAAAAGCTGATTTCAGCATTAGGAGGTGGCCTGGAACATGTAAAAGGATGGAAAAAAGGGAATTAGGTCAGGAGCTGGGAGCAAAAGGTTGATTGCTTGGAATGCTCTCCCCCAGCATGGGCCATGGGCAAGCAGAAATAAATTGTGGGTATGCGCAGGAAATAATGCTTACTGAGGAGTTTAATTGAGAGTTCAGACGATGAAATCAGGAAAAAAAGATATTTTTCCTAATTTTAATCTTTGTTTATATTTACTTAGACTTAGAAAAAATGTTCTGCATTTTATAACAGAGAACAAATACACAGAAGAGAGAACAGCTAAGTGCCCTGTGTCTTTGCCTGCTATTTTAACAAGAGGTCCTCACACTGATATGGATTTGTATCATCATTTGCTAAGGTTTCTGTGCTTTTATAAAAATTACTATCTAGGTCACAAACTCCTTTTACCTGTCATCTCCTGGATGAAGGAAATGATATCATTGTTGAAATGATTGTTAAATGGCTGATGTTGGTGCACCTTGGCCAATTTAAAATAGTAATCTTACTTTTTTTAGGGTATTAAGAGTGTTATTACATGGATGGGCAACAGTTCTTCACTTGGGTTTGGTTCACTATTTTTGTTTGCTGAAACACTGGCAAAAGATACAAGTTTTTTTTTGCTTTTTTTAGTATGCAGAAGGCCCAAACTGCAACATTCAGGATATGGACTTTTCAAAAATGTGATGGAGTCTTAGGGCAGGAACTAAGTTGGTTTCCTGCCAGATCTGAGCTGCTGCCTGGGGAAAACAAGCAATAGAGAAAAGGCTACAAAGAGAATAATTTTTTTTTTCTTTTGACAGCTGGCTAATCTATCTGAATTTGGAAGGTCATAGTCAGAAGGCATAGAAGGAGTAATAATAGCAAAGTGTGTTTCAGAGAATGCCCTGCTGCTTTATGGCTATTAGGAAGATACCACAGGAATTAATTTTTAAAAATAGCTCAGCGTTACAGGCGCAAGGGGTGTGACTGAGGCGGCAGGAAAATGTTCTAGCTTCTTTGTTCCTAAAGTCAAAAAATTCCTGTTTGCTTAATATTTATCTCGAGAAGTAAATTGGCCTCTCGTGCCAGAGAAAACAGTGTTTGGGTTCAGCAAGTCCTGAGGCAAAGAAACTTTATTATTGTTTGGGCAGGATCTGGAAAATGCTGCCAGGTGCAGTTCTTGATACCCAACTTCAATGTTCCTTGTAGATGGGGAAGCCTAAACTTAAAAGTATGCAGCTGAGGAGAAAGGCTTTGATAGCCTGTTTTTCATCAAAAGCTCAAGACCACAGCAGCAGCAGAGAGCTGGAAGATGAAGAGAAAAACTTGAGGTCTTGGAACAAACTGGAGGATAAAGTGCTTTTGGAGAAACTCTGGAAGCTTTGTGAGGAGGAGGAAGAGGAAAAGTAAGCGTGGGGGGGTGAGAGGTACAGAAGGTGGGAAGCTGTACCCCCACATGCTGTGCTGTGGTGAACACACAGCTCCAAAGCCCACACACACTTCCCGTGGACAAGGTAAGAAACACTCCAGCTCTGAGTTGGCAGCCCTGGCTGCTTGCTGCTTAATCAAAGCCTTGGTCATGCTTAGAAGCAGCACCAGTGCCCGCTCTCCTGCTGTCAGTCCAGGGTACCCTCAGCATCCCCAGCTCCTGGGGCTGCCCTGGCACTGTGGTGTGGGCAGGGCAGGCCTGATGGGCTGTGCAAATTCAGGTGCTTCATGGACTGCCCAGCTGGGAAGGCTCAGAGGCAAATGGGAACTCTTCCAGTTTGATTTGCAGAGCCTTGGTTTGAGTCTGTTCACACCTGGAGGCTCCAGCCCTCACTGGAGCTGGGGCAGTAGTGGCAGGATTGGGGATTGGGTCCTGCCAAGAGTCAGAGCCTCAGCTGGAGCTGGTAGTGAGCAGCTCAACCTCTCCACCAGCCCACAGGGTTCGAGTGACTGGTACTAGAGGAGACATTTTACAGGTGAGAGTATTTCAAGGGTAATGTTTATACAAATGCTGGCAGCTCTGTTGAAGAGCTTTTGATAGTTTGATGTCACTGTGGGCTAGACTGGAAGCTCTGCAGCAAAGTAGTAGTGTCCTGAAATGTGAGGCTGCAAGAGCTCTCCCTTTGCCTGGTCCTCATGCTGCCCTGGTTTGTGTTGGTGAAAATGCATTTTAAAGTCTTTGAATGTTGGCAGGGTTCTTTAATTGAAGAATCTACTCCGAAGCCCTTACAGTGGTCTGCATATGAGATAGGAATGACATGTTGTACCTAGGTGGGAAGAAAAACAGCTGTGGTGCAGGGTAGAATGTGACAGAGAAGGGAGGGATGTTGCATTTCAATTCTTTGATGTGGGCAAAAGAAATTGTTCATTTTCAGATACAGGAGAAAAAGGATTTTAAACAATATTTCTTACTCTAAGTAAAAACTCCATTTACAGCATCCTCTTTGAACTGCTGCTTGGATGTTTGTTTCTGGAGAACATGCAGTGACTTTCCCAATTGCTTGGCAAGGGCAGGGGCCTGTTAAAAAATAACTAGAAGCTGAGGTAAATCACATACAAATAGCCCAGGGAGCGTGGTGAATTCATCAGTGTCTGATGTACTTGCTTGTCTCATGGCCACCCAAGTTCCTCTGTAACGTGTTTTGGGTTTCTTGGCTTTGACATGACCTGTCCAGCAGGAGAGAATGTCAGATGTATTTCTTTGAGCAGCATTTTAATGTTTCACCTAACTCTGGTGATGAAAAAGGGATGAGTGAAAAAGGTCCAGGCTTCTGCTAGTCAGAGACCTTTTAATAAAGTTTCTCCCCTTCAATAATGCTGGACAACAGAAGCTTTTAATTGTGTTACTGCTCTGAACTAGCTGCTGTTGCAGGTTAGGCTGGTTGACCTGAGTCTCTGTGCACAGTATGAGCATTTGCTCCCTTCTCAAATCTGTCCTGTGGGTGTGTTTACTCACCTTTCTTACAGCAGTATGAAAAGGCTGTGGAGAGGTGCACAAAGAACATTTCTACTCATCCTTTGAATGTGTTCACAGTGCTCACAAGGAGCCTGGCACCCTCAGGGGCTGGTGGACAAGGCTTGAGACCACTGGAGCAGCCTGTGCCTGTTCTGCTGCAGCTCCGTGCAGTTCCCTTATGAGTGCAGGATGTTTCTCTTCCCCAAAGGGGAGTTGTTGTCACTGAAACATGAAGCAGGGGTTGTCTGTATTGAGTGTCAGGACAGAGCCATCATTCCAAGGATATTTTTAATAGCAAGGTTTGAAAATCCCCCTCACAATAATATTTTGCATGCTGCAGGATTACTTTGTAGTTGCTGTTGGCAACCTGATATGGTTTGGAGATGCTGTGTTCCCAGGCTGTTCCAGGCAGACTGACTGTTGGAAAACTCACAAGTCTTTGTCAGTTCAGGGCCAGAAATGGAGTCCAGTTGTTTTGCAGTTGTGTGCTGCTGAGTGCAAATTGCAGGATTTCTTGCATTCCTCATCTGCACCTCCTGTAGTTTCATGTGTAGCTGCTTCTTGCAGTGTCACAGTTCAAATCTGTCTGCTGCATGCTCAGGGTATTGCCTTCTTTGGGGGGATTTGTGTAGTTTGTTACCTGCAGACTCAGACCCAGTTGCAGCACGCGGGATTTCAGCTGGAGCAGCAAGTGCAGACCATGGTCCCTAGAGACAGAATGGGTGTCCTCTGGTGAGGGTCTCTCTTTAGGGAGAAATTAGACTTCCATATCAGGGAATGAAAAGCTCCTTACCTTCATTAGAGCACATGGAAGTTTGAATTTGTCCAGAGCTTATACCTCTTGCAAAACCTGAGAGAAAAATTAAGAGAGTTCCAGGCATTAGGGACCACCTGCTCACAGCCAGCCACAGGGAGAGGTAGTCATCATTTGTGTTTGCTGCAGTGCCAAGCACACTCTTTGGATGAAGTGGACTGATCAAAGGCCATATGGGATGAAGGAATTCCTTGATGTACCATGTACTTTCTCTGCCTGTTTTTTGTATTAATGTAATACTTTTCCAAGCCTGTCACATAGCTTTATTTGGCAAGCAAGTTACTCCAAAAAAACTTGGCAGAGCAGTTCACAGTGTATTTCATAGTGAGTGTGCCAGGGTTGTTTGCTAATACACAGATGAGCTGCCAGAATGCTGAGGTCTCCTAAACCTGCACAAAACTGCCTGATGGACCTTGTGAGTAATTAAACATCACTCAGTTCTAAGAGGCAACCTTCAGTAGTAGAGTTCACCCAACTATAATGTCTTTAAAATCAGGATGGAACCAGTGGCATATGACAGGAGAGTGTTAATTGCTCACAGGTTAATGACCCCTCTAACTATGCAGTGGGGGTTCCTGGTTCCTGTGTAAATTGATGTGCACCATAGAGTTGTGGTCCTTATTACCAGTGGGCAGTTCCAGTGGCTTCAAACCCTGTGTATTCACAAACAGCTAAAGGAATCCCCTAAACTATTAGCAGTAATCATGCATGTTTGAGAGAGAACACTCAACTCTGGGACATGGAAACTGAAGAGCTCCAACAACTTTGCTCCTCCAACTGATCCAAGCAATTGAGGTAAGATGGCAACATTCTTTGAGCCAGCTCAGAAATTCGGAGAGATGGAAGTCACAGTGTCTCTCTTGGACACCCCTCTGAATCCTCTTAATCAATTTCTTGCAGTTATTTTCCTAATTTAAAACATAACAGGCACTGGTCACAGCTTATTTGCATTTAGATCTGTACTCATATTGTGCATGTGGATGCCAGGATGGTCTTTGCTAAGGATTCTGGTGGTGTCATCACCAGCTGAGGTGGCACACATTACATGAGCTCCCAAACAAGGAGCTTTGTCTTTCCAGGCGTTTGCCAAACTCAAAATGAATGCATCAAGAGTATTCAGGATGAGTCTGAAATGAGAACATGGGAAATGCATGGCAAGTTAAAACCTAGGAGAAAAGTGTGACAGAGGACTATTCCTGGCCTGAAAAGAAGGTAAAAATTCAAAGTATTAAGTTAAAAAAATTACTGGGACAGTGCTGTAGTAACTTGTGGTCAGAGGAAAGCAGAATTTGGCTGTCACAGAGAGAAGCATCCTTATCCTTTGTGCCAGATGGATCTTGGCTTCCTTGCTCAAACACTGAATAAAGGTTTGGAAGAGGTGTCATACAAGTGCACAAGGAGAATTGTTAAGAGCAGAGCCACTAGAATGTGATTTGATTCATTTAGGACTTACAATCCTGAAAACTTAGGTGGGGCTGGTTTCTGAAATCTAGAGGTGGTTCAGTCTGTTGGTCTGTTGAAGACTTTATGCTCCCTGATGATGTTTGGTCTGTTGGTGTTTTAAACAAATGGAGCATTACAGACATTCCAAGTGCATTTCCTCATGTATCACTAGGCCTGCTGTAGGTGAGGTCTGAGAAAGGGATCTCATCAAACTTTGAAAGTTAATGAAGTAATGATCTTTCAAATAATTACTGAAACTTACCACTAAAATGTTTTGGATTTCTTTCTAAAGTTGCAGGTTTACACCAACACATTGTTCAACTTCTTTTTTTGTTTTTAATTGATGTGGAAAATCTGAAGTCATAAAACACTGTGTGACTACAGGATGTCAGGATAAAACAGCAGGTAAGAAAGTATTTTAAACACTAGGAAAACTTCAATAATTTGGTGTTTGAAAGGTAGATCTGTATAAGCAAAAATTTGCTTCATATTTAACTGGACCTCACTTGCTAATTAATTAATAACTCTTGTACGTGTAACATTCACAATTAAAATCTTAAAGACAGCTATAGCTTCTTGTTGCAAATTTTTAAAGGCAGATTGAACAGCTTTCAAGGTGAGTGTCACAATGAATTGCTAAAATCAAGGGACTATGGATCAAGCTATCTTTCTGCTAAATACTGTGCTTCATTTGTAAGGAGAAATAACTTCTAGTGGGGTTTATATGGAGACCCCTGGCACATGGGTTGGAGGCAGCCGCTACTGTGGCAGCTTTTCTGCAGCAGAACAGAGCAGGATGATGGAGGCTGCTGTCATAAATGTTCTTCTCTTTAGGGTTGTCTTATGACTATCTGAGTCTTATGAGGGCTTCACTAAAAGCACTCACTAGTGATTTAGTGTCATGATTCAGATGAGAGATGAAGGCATTGTATAGAATGGAATCTAAAACCAAAAATCTTGTCTTGGTCCCTTCCATTCTGCTGATTTTGATGTCAGCAAATTCAAAAATGCACACTGCCACTGGTCCCAGTACCTGTCATTTATAAAGAATCTTATTTTCAGTCTCTTTGGGGAAAAGAGTTGAATATGTCTTTTAAGAACATTCAATTATAACCTGTCAAGAGGTTAAACATTTGATAAATATTTTCATGTTAATTTAGTGGAATTTATTCTGCTTAAGTATCTAAGCAGGAATTTTTATTACCTGGTTACTAAATCCAAAACTATAATCTACTTCATAGGAGAACCTCAGGCCATATTTCCATCCCTTTCTTGAGGCTCATATGGAAAGGGCATCCTGGCTGAGGTGTGTGGCTGGAGGGAGCTGCCTGAAAAGCACCTGGGGAGCAAGAACTGGAGAAGGATCCTCACAACAGAACCTCTGGGTCACCTCACCTTGTCTGTTCAAAAGGTGGAGAGAAAACAACACCCAGAGTCACAGCACAACCAGCTTTGGAGGTGAATGACCTACAGCCACAGCAGCTCCCCCAGAGCTCAAACACACTGCTGAACTCCTGTCTCATCCTGCAGCTGGCACAAGGCTTGACAAGGCCATGTTCTATTCTAGCAATGAAATGCACTGATGAAACAGAGGCCTGAATCGCCACCCTGTCACCTGTGTTATCTCTGTCTACTTCCTGAATTAATCTGAATTAATTCAGATTCTGGGTTCTAGAGACCATAGGAACCATTGTAAAAATGGCAAAAAACTCTGACGGTCTTGCAGCAATAGGGGGTTTCATTTTAACCAGGGAATCTTAATCCCAGAAAGTTGTAGTAATATGATGAACCAGACTAAAATGTGTTAATCTGATATTCCTTGGCATCTAACAGCAGTTTGTGCCACTTGAATCAGAGTGAGGAATGTTGGTAGCTGCTCCTTCTTGTAAAATGGACATCTAATACTGCAGAAGCTCTTAAATTACCTGTGAGACTTCTGAACAATAAATAGAGTTGTCTCTTCCTAATATAGTGAACTGTATTTTGATTTTTAAAACTGGTAATAAGAGCTGTTTCACTCTGGTATTGTCATCTTTTGTTCCATTTCACGGCAGTGAAAATTGAGACTTTCAATCTAGAAATGAAAAGAGGATTCCCAATTCATAGCAAGTAACAGTCTCATTTACTGATTATTTAAAATAAGGACAAGGTATTTCAACTATTCACAGATATTTCTGACATATCACAAAGTGATATAAGAGAAAAAGATCACAATCATTTTTGAAGCAAAACAGTTTAAAATTTAATGTTTACAAACACATTGCTTTTTTCCTTTTCAAAATGTTTGCTGATACAGTTTTGCAGGAGGCTCTCTGTTTGGTCACATACATTTGTGCTATATACACCATGTTTTGTCCTAGGGGATGAATGGGAAAAAAAAAATTCCAGACTGGTACTTTGTCAGAAACAGGGATTTGAAATATGTTGTCTAATGGTCTTGCAAATTTGCATCTGTGAACTTTGTACAAGAATGAACATGCTATGCAGCTGCCATTTATTTTACACTGTATTTAAGTATTCAAAAGAAGTGAGATCTATTTCTTTTTTTTTTTTTTTAAGCTTCAAGGCTGTACCACTAACATTTTGCCAATCTCTTGTCATTTTCTTAAATGCTGCAATCACTTTGTCAATTTTAGAATTGCTAGCAGTGAGGATGATGCCCACTTGAAACATACCAAACCAAACAGAATAATTCCCTGGGAAAACTGTGTATCAGCACATGCATGAGACATAACTATAAAATTAGTCCAAAGTTTTGATAAATACTTAGTTCCCACCAGAGCTAATAGTTGTTCTAGTTCTAGAGAATAAAATGGTTATTATATACAGAAGGTTGGGCGGAGTATGGACATTTGACAAAGGCCACTTGAGGCATTTCACGTTCAGAATTGTTTGCGCAGTGTTAATGCAGCTGCCCTTTTCCCTCCTGCACAGGCTTGTGCCACCTGTGGGAAGGGATCATCCCTGGCAGTGTCAAGGGGCTCAGCCTTGCAAGATCCAAGCTCATCTTCTCCTGGCTGCTCAGTCTCCAGCTGAACCAGGAGCTTCTTGCAGGACTGGGAGCCCTTTAGGGCTTGCTTGTGAGCTCGATGCAAATTGTAGAGCGTTTTCAGATGCCAGTTTCCATCAGGTGAGCATTTGGTCTTTTGCCTTCAGGATGTTACATGAAAAACTGCACCAGCATTTTTCAATGAGCACCATTAATTGACTTTGATAATTTGGCATGAGCAGCAGTATTGAAGAAGATGCTGAACTCCTGTCTTGTACAAAAATAAAGTACAGCTGCCAATTACCCTGCAACTAAAACCTGTAAATACTAAAAACATAAATATGTTAACCATACACATATACACAGAACACAGCCGTAGCAATATTACAGGATGCAATGCCTACTCTCTATAACTGGTTTTGGTTAATACAGAAGCAACAGCAAAATAAATGCTATTTCATATATGAAAAACCTTTCTTCAAAGGTCAGTGGCAGTAAGCCAAAGTTCAGTTCCAGGCTTTCACTAATCCAATGTGACTCACACAAATTAATCCATGAAAGATAGCACTATGGGATGAGAATGGCTGTCAGTTAACACTGGAACTTGGAGGTGGAGCTTTCTTTTGCTACCATTTGTAATTAATTCTCCCTTTTTCACAAGTCCTCTTTCTGTGAACATTCACCAGGCTTAACAGGGGACAAAGTTATTACATATAAAATATGATTTAGGGGTAAGGATTAATAAAAAGAACCAGCCCAAGACTGGATTTCCTCAATCCCGGGAGGTGCTCTCCATGTATTTAAGGGAAATTTCCATGAGATTGCACTTTGCAGACTACTAAGAAGTTGTTGCTCTCCCACTTTTTCTTCTTTTCTATGCAGTTCTGTTTCAAAGTTTGGTAGGAATTGCAGGAGAAGGGCAAGAGGAGATGACTGCTGGTCTATTGTCTTGGCTAATGCTCTTCAGAGCAGCGTCCTCTCCTCAAGACCACATCATCTAGTCCAATATCCCCAGTTCTCCCTTTCCCTTTCTCGCCTCTGAAAATTACCTAGAAAGAGAAATAGAAAAATTTGAGTGGAGGATAAAAAAAAAATAATTACAGATATAATTAATTAAAAAGTATGATGAAGGATTCTGGTTTTCATTCAAATTCTCCTCAGGTTTCCAGCAGGCCCCTCCAAAATCCCTGCCATTTAGTTTGGTTTAGGTTTTAATTAGCTAGAAGATAAAACTTCCACATTTCTTCCTAATTTCCCTTTGGCAGAGACCTCCCCTGCTTAATTAAGTGTTTTCCCTCACTCCCTGATCTTTGGATAGGTGTCCCAGTGGTTCAGGTCAGCTTGGCTGCCCATGCTGGCTGGAAAAGATCCCAAACTCCAGCTTGGCATGAGAGCTCCCGTCTGTGGTGCGATGGATGGCAGCCCATGCTGACAGCTACTGCCAGGGGGTCGAGAGAGGCAGGGGTCAGTGCAAAGAGGGACTGCCAGAAGTGATAAATTTAGGGGGGAAAAAAGGTAAGACTATAGCAGATACACTGTTCACCTGTTACAGATGTCCTCGTTCTCAGTCCGACACTCATTTACAGCTAACAAAGTCAGCTGTCTTTGCTACTGTTGCTGAGGTAAATTTTCTTGAAAAGTATCTGCAGTAATTACAGACTTAATATTCATTTTAGAGCTAGACACTGTATGTATGTCTTGTAGCCTGCTCTCATCATGAACATTATGTGTGAGCTTTACAGAGCCCCTGATAATTAAGACAGAGTAAAACAGGCCCTGAAATACCCAAGCCACTTCTTCAGATCTGAAATAAAAACTACCTTCAGAGGTTGAAGAATAACACTGAGCTTTTGACACCAGTTAATCACACAAGGTTTCTAAAATTTCCAGTTATTAAAAGATTCTCCATGGCACTTCAGGCAGCTTCCTTTGATTGCACTAAACCATTTTGTGTTATGGGCATTGTTAGGTCATCATTCACCTCCTTGGCCTGATCAGCTGCAGGGATGCTAAAGGGCATTAAAACACATGTGATTGCATGTGTAATCTCCCTGCATTACCAAAAATTACTTATTTTCAGTATCCACTAACCACAGGGGATGATTCTTCCTATTTCATGGCACTGTGTGATTCAAAGCATTACTAATGAGGAATCTTGATACAGGTTTTTGGGGTTTTTTTTTTACATCTCTAGAGAGTATGCCTCTGTCCATGAGAGGCATGGACATTTCTTCTTTCTGTTCTTCCCTAGGTGGTGATTCCCTTAAAATGGGCTGTACCAGGTAGCTCAGGAAATGACAGAGTAGCTTGTACTATGAGTCTATTTCTGTAGCTGGGATCTCTTATTTTTCTTCTGTGCATAAAACTAGTTTTAAAAAATTCACAATAACTCTCATCTGTACAGTGATTCCATTGACAAAGTAGTAAAACTGAACCCAGAAGATGAACACTGCAGTGCTGCATCATTTGTCTTCAGTTTTTCATGCAAAAACCCAAAAAGCAACCCAACCATCAGTACTTACACTCTTGATGCCTTGTCCTCGTAGAGTTATGTGTGTTTGTCTCCAGCCGTGGCCACCGTTCCTCCCCCAGACAGCTGGGCCCTGAGCACCATTTTTCCTTACAAAGACTTGGAGGGCACCAGAATGCAGCCCAGGCACCTTGTGCCTAAAGGACAGGCACAAATCTCCAGCCTGGGCCATGTGCCCCAATGGCAGGATAAGGTGGGCTACTCTTCCTTCTTTGCCCTTGGGATCGGAGATGGCAAGGTACTGTCCCCCTGCAGTGGAGAAAGCAGGTAGTTGGGGGGTTGGGTTTGTTTTTTTAACACTACTAGGTTGCAGGACCAAGTGCACAAGAGTTATTAAAAATAGATAAGGGGGTCCACAAGGTCCAAAAAACATAAATTAAGGCATATAGAACCAGAACTAGTGCATCTGCCTTCTACAGGGTAAGATGTACAGTGCTGCTCTTCTCTGTACAGTAGTACCAGGGTGGGTGTTGCCCATCTAATTTATTTTTGACAAACAATACCCCTCTCAAAAAACTAAAACCTTGTGTATTCTGTCATTTCTGACAACCCCTTGGTCACAGCATGATTTTAAACCCACAGTGATGTTAAAGCTACTTTAAAGCAAATTTATGCACCTTCAAGCTGCAGTGTTTTGCTGTTGGATAGATAACAGAGACCAGAGTAAATGCTACGGTGTAACTGAGCTATGGCTCTGTCCCTTTCCTTTTGTTTGGGAACTGTGTTAACAGGGTACGTCTCAAAGCCTATCCATTTGCAACCCCCATAGCCTCTTTTATTTAACTGTAATTTAAGCTCTTAATCTGAATTAGATAAAGCAAGAAGCAGTAATGATTTCCACATGGCTCTTAGCCCCAAACTCCAACAGTAGGAAGCTGTCAGTGAACATACATACTCAATTCAAAACCCTATTATTATCTCTTATCATGTATGAAGTAAAGGTGCCTTCCAGAAAACACTCAGAACATGAGAAGCTAAGGATCTCACGTATGGAAACATCCATTAAGCCTAAAAAGGAAAAAGGCACCTTTCACACCAACACTCAGAACAACACTAAATGAGATTTCAAGTCTTGGAGAAAACCCAGACCCTCTATGAGTTGTTTGTATTTTTCATTGAAACTTTTGCAAGGTGGGTGAAACCTGTAAATCTGAAATTACCAAAAGGATAAGGGTTAAAAAAAATCCCAAAAAATAAACAAACCTTATCTTACACTGAATCTAAGAATATTTTTTCTTTATGCAATCAGATTTTAATCAGTAAAAAAAAATCAGTATCTTTTTTAATTACAAAATGCTGCCTCTACCTTAAGTTCATTATGAAAATGGCATTTTTAGGCTCCTTAGTTTAGAAAGATTTAGAAATATTGGGGGTTTATAATACTGCTGACATACACAGTTAAACAGGATAGAAAAATAATTTTTGTCTCCCTGCTACTACTCAAACAG